CTAGCACTATTATTAACTTATCTTAATGACACAGACTCCTATGCCATGAAAATATCACATCCTGCCCTGTGTCCATCTGAGGAGAATACTTTGCCTGTCCTACCTCCCCGAGCAGTCAGCGACTCCTCCCCCTGAATCTAATGGCCACTTTCGCACCTCTCTTGTCTCTGCCTCGTGGCCCCATTTACTCAGAGACCACAGCTAAATCATCTCTGCACATCCAAGCTAGCACAGTGCCTGGGAAGTAAGAGGCATGCAATGTGTACCTTCTAAACCAATACAGAACTGAGTATTTCCTACAGCCTTGCTGCCTAAAAAAGGTAAGTAAATAAAAGTAGGTTAAATTCCTTGATATGGAGACTTAGGAAGCAGCCCAACCTATCAAAGAAAATGTCACTGAATGAGCACAGAACGTATGTATCCTCACACAGTTTAAAGTGGCAGTTTCAACATCTTTAGAGACTCAGATGTCTTTGAGAAGCCAATGGACTTTGGGCTCCTCCGAAGAAGGATGCACAAACACGTAAGAGTTTGCAATGAATTTTCAGAAGATTCATAGGATCCGTGAAGTGACCTTTGACCCCCATGACTGCCGCAAAACCAGGGGCCAGTTGAGCCCGGATCAGGATCTTTTGCCCAAGAATAACAGCATCCGTTGGTTGTGTATCGAAAATGTCACTGTTCTTTTTTAAACACGTCAGTATAATCTATCGGACTACAAAAGACTTCGTCTCTGAGGAAGCATCACGATGCCAGCGAGGATACATGTATCAGGTGCGTCCACAACGACCCAAACCCCTGGGGCCGAGAAGGTCCATCGCACAGGCTCAGTCTCGTTACCTCAGTAAAAGAAAAGTCATCGCTGTCACTGGACCCACTAAAGCGCCACGTTAGTCCTCCTTATTTCTCAAGAGGACAAAATAAAGAGAATACACTGCTTTAAAAATCGTTTTGCATGACAAGCATCTTTTCAAACTGGAAACTTAGAATCGAGGAAATTTAAAGCGATCCACGGCTCCTAGGGGGCACCCAAGGGTCAGGCACAGACTGGGGAAGTTTGTAATCCAGTTAAGACACCAGATATGGAGACCCGGGAGTCACTGATTTCCAGACTTCTGGGGCTAATTTAGGAGCTTTAATCCAAAAGACGTGACCCCAGCTCCTCCAAGGCCATTATGACGGGTGGCAGGTTGCACCATTTGTCCTTTTGTGAAGTTAAAGCGGATCTAAAGTATTAAGCTTTATAGCAGGTCACAAATGAAACACCACCGGTCAGGATTAAACATAAAAGGAACCTATTTTTATGATGTAAATGAGATATAAAAAGGTACTGAAAACTGTAAGGAAGAATGGGACAAGTGTCGTGTAAGCGATAGAAAAAATAGCGGATTATGAGCAGGGGAACAGAATGAGAGACGAGAAAAAGGCAGATTATGAGCAGCTAGAAAGAACAGAGAGAAGAATAAGCTGGATCGCAATGAAAATAATTTCAAAGAAGAAGATACAATACCGGACTGAGAGAGCGACAACGCGACGAGAAACGAGAAAAATGTCGAGGAAAACGTGGGTTTTCTCTGAGCGCGTGGGCAGCTGGGAAGTAGGGGTGACGCGGAGAAGACCCCCCTGGGTTTTCTGATCATGGAGAAGCAGCCGTGAGAATTATCCGAGACGGTCTGTATGTCTGTGAGAATTTAGGAGTCGGAGGACACTTGAGCATCCGTGTGGAGTGGACTCTTCGGCTGGCCGATTTTCTCCGAACCGCTCCAAATGAGGAGAGTTTAAATGAGGTCTGAAAGGGGAATCTATGTGGGGGTCAGAGGCCCGGGAAGGACAGAGTAGGGGTCCAGGTCACGATGGGACAGGTCATGGAAAGACAGAGCAGACGCCCACCCAGTAAAAGTGAGGGGAAGTATACCTAAGGGCAGGTGACCAAAGGAAATAAAACCCAGGGAAGGAGTTTTCCAGTGGGGCTCTCGCCCTAAAGAGGTGACAGCTTCCAACAGCTTTCTGACACAGAAGTCACACACAGAGGGCCGCTTTGTCCTTCACCCCCGAGACTGCCCAACACGGCGATGTGGCCAAGCGATGTCAAGTTAACAAAATACCAAAAAAAATGACCTTACGTCAGACAGGCAAGCCGTAACTGTGCTTCACAGAGAGGGGACAGGTGTCCTGAATCTTTCCTATTTGAAAACAGAAACTATGGGGCAAATGAGTCCCTTGGAGAGCCGGCCACCACCTACCATGGCTCTCATGGAGCAGACACCAAACAAAGGTTAATTTAGTTATTTACCCCAAAACATTGCATAAAGCAAGTAGCATATATGGAAGAGACGTATTTAGGAAAAACAGAAAGGTTATTGAAGGAGAGAGCAGAAGAGTTGAACTGGGTGACAACATAGCAGGAAAGAAGTTGACGGACTAAGACGCAGAAAAAAAAAGAGCTTCCTACTTTGTAAACATTTTATCATCTCTTTCTATAAAACAGCATAAATATTCATAAGAACATGGTAATGAAGGAAAGCTAGAAAAATTAAATGTAGTGGCACTGAAATAGGTCAAATATAAGTATGTTACCATCAGCCGGAATGTGTAGAACATTAACGTTTGGCTGTTTGCGATAAACTTTAAAAAGGAATATTTGTGTAAAGCTGGTGACAGCAACCTAGTCTGTCTCTCAAAGATCCAGAAGGGATACCTCTGCTCCGTGCATAGAAATATTAAAATACCTCGGTCATCAGTCGCATGCACAAAATCTATTGACGGTAAGGGGGAGAAAGGAAAGAGCCCATTCCTAAAAGTGAATTCACACTTCTTTCTAAAAAAGGAGCCATGGTGACTAAACACAGCAACACAATTCTGGAACTTTGCTCTCCCTTTAGTATGTAAGTGTTATCCCACCCACACGGGCATCAGTCTGCTCATCTGTCAAATGAACGCCGTTGTCCTCTTCCAAATAGTCTTTTGGTTCTATGCTAAAGTGTATTCATGTCTTCAGAGCGCAGTATAGGAAAAATAAATTAATCTAAGAAGCTGCTTTTTTAAAAAAATTAAACAAAAAGAGCATTAAACAGATGTCAGTGCAGTAAGCATAAAGCTTCCGCAATGATCACAAAAGCTAAATCTTGTTTCTTTAAGATAAAAAGGCTTTGTAAAAAGAAGTAGCTGGCAGTGTGTAGGTGTAACCGATTTATCATCGTGAGAAACCTGGCCATTTTTCCCCCAGAAGGCGCTCGTACACGATTGTCTGCTACCTTTAAAGAGAAAGACACTAAAATATTGAGAGCTCCATTATAAAGCCACGTAAAACACTTAGAAAGCTCTCCTTAGGACACTTTAAAAGAAACCCGATCACAAATTTTCAAAATGGAAAATAACAGTTTCGAGAAATAAAGGATGTTATTCAAAATCACTGCCTCCTTACCACCATCTAAAGTGTAATTTTTGAGAAAGAATTCCTTAGTTATTAATATATGAAATTAAATTTTTAAAATTTTTCGGTAAAACCGAAACTAATTATCAAAACATGCAAACAATGTCCTTTTGGATAACTTGTTACAACGGGCATGGAAGTAAATGATAGTTACTAGGAACGGCTCGGGGAGTAAAATTTAGATCTGACTCTTCACAATCCTTCATCACACAATTTCTAACTGGTGATCCAGTACCATCTTAATAGCCACAAACTGGCTTGAAGTTAAAAAACCACCCTCTCCTCTTCCAACATCCATTCCCAAAGCTTATTTCTCCTTACCTTCTCCCCACCGAGGAAAATCTCTGCTCTCCCCAAGTTAGATTTGGGAAATGAGTATCTCATCACAGGAGGTTCAGTCAAATATAAAATGTAATACGAATTATATAGAGCTGAGTATTTCATTTTATCAGTCATATCTTCATTATGACATTTGCATCAAACACGCATCTTACGGAATGTCTTAATGTATATTTTCCATTCAATTTAGCAAAATATTTTTTTTTGCTAAATTATACAGAAAAAAAATACAGAAAGTAACCTAGACTCATCCCTCACACTTGTAATTTATACTTCCACAGCCGTGTTCATTAAACCCTCCAACATCCAGAGAGACAGGTGCTGCCACTCACCCCCGCTCACCCCCTCGCCCCATCTTCCAGGTGAGAGCTGTTGAACCACATGACTGGACAGGAGAAGGTATCAACAGCAGGATGCAGGGGCTGCTTAGGCTCATCGGACTGGAATGGGTAGAGTTTGAACTTGAGCTTTTGTCTTTTGAGTGAGGCTGCATGATAGAACAAGCTCTAAAAAAAGTAGCTTTGCTATTGGCCAGCTAAGGTCTCAAGTTACAAATCCCAACCCCAAAGGCACTCTGTGCTGGGTGAGGGGCGTAGACCACCGGTAGGGGGCAGTCGGAATGCTAAACTCAGGGAAAGTCCAGCGGGGAGCAGGTGGCAGGGTGAAGGTCATGCTTCCTGAAGGCCGTTTCTCCTCCAGGGCAGAGGAACCTGAAAACAGCTAACTGGACGTGCGGTCGTTTACAGAAGGTTAAATTACAGATTTAACCACGTCTGAGAAAGAGTGAAAGTCAGAAGTGACCCACGGAGGAGGCGCGAGCGTGGTCTGAGTCAGTTCTGAGGCTCAGAAGTGGTAGCTCGTCTGCTGAGGTGCCATGCCCAGGGCCCTAGCTCAGGCCAAAAGCAAGTGGAAATAAAGGTTCTTCTGAAAGACCAATAGTCAGTGCCTCGAGGTGCCCACCATTCTTGGAAAAAGCAGAGCGAAGAGCTGGAAATTAAACTGAGATTCTGAGCCCGAAGTGCCAAAGATACCGCACCTTTGGCCAGGGCTGGGATGCTGTCTCAGAAATCCAGAGCCCACGCTTTTTCCACTCTGAGCCAATGTTACCTTAGAAACCAATTTTGATTATAAGCAAAATCTGGCAAAACTCCTTAGATACTGTTTCTGAACACCCAACCAAGGTTGGGCTGAACCAGACGTAGTGTCGGGTAAAAGACCCGTAACTCACCGATGAAGTGATTCTGTCCCAAGGCGAGCATCTCCTCCAACAGGACGAGGCCCCCGGGGGCTTGGAGGAGGGTCACGCTCCTGCCATCTATGAGGGAGCACTGTTGGAACCCTGTGGCCGTGACCTTCCACAGCAAAATCAGCGAGGCGGTGGCATCTTGCCGAATTCTGCTTTGAAAGTCCCACTCAGAAAGATTCACCTTAGAACCAGCCCATCAAATGAAAAATGAAAATAAAGGTGACGTGTATATCCACGAAGGTATCGGGGACTTGCTTCGATGATCTTACAAACAAGCGCCCACTCTGTGCACGCTCGTGGCTGTCATTTCCCACGTTTGGGAGAAATGTGTGTCTCCGACTAGATCAAAAATAGACCACAAACCCCTAACAGATAATTCACCTTTCAGGAACAATTTTAATCAATAAGAAAAAGGTATATTGAGTTCTTGTAGAGACAACTTCCGCCTCCGCACAATATAGAGTCCTGCTTGGTCTGATTTATTTTAACGGTGCAATGCATCCCGAAACAGCCACCTGAGAGGTGTGCTGTCAAAATACGCAAAACTATGTCACCTCCCATGCTTTGGGCCTCCCCTGACTTCTTCTTGTTTTCAGGAATGAGATGCCTTAGGAGACTAAGTGACCTCAGCCTCAGCTACCCGCTCAGACACAAACCGGCACCTCCATCCTTGCAACCCGGTTCTCAGGCAGCAAGAGCTACTGTCTCTTCCCCACGCAGGTTCCGTCCTAGCTCCCGGCCTTCGCCTCCCCCTCCACCTGGGAAACCTGTCGTTCTGCCAGGCTTAGCCTCCAGATCACCTCTTCCCTGATCCCCAGATCCCCCACCCAGCAGCTGTCCTTCCCTTCGTCTGTATCCCCAAAGGGCTGGGTCTCTACCTGGGGGAGAGGATCGTGCACTCCGTGCACAGTGCTGCCCCCAGCCCAGCTCAGAGCTCCTGGCTCGCAACAGGGTGCTCAGTAAAGGGCTGAGAATTAGAATTGGGAATAAATTAACGTGGAAGGGGCTCTGAATTCACCCCCACAGGTGAATTCAGAGCACTCAGAGATTATTGGGCAGCCCCCTCTCCCTCCGCCTGGGTCACACTCTGCTACTTCTGCCCAGCTCTGCAGCCTAAGCGGGTCTTAGGGAATTCCAGGTTTGTGGAAAGGGGAAAAATGGTATTTAAAGAGATAGAAGACCAGTACTATTTGGAAAGGCTTATAAAAGTAAAATAATATGACCTAGACGAGAGAGGACTGGGAGATGGTTTTAAAAACATAGAAGAAACTAATGAACCTGATTTCCCTAAAACCAGCTCCTGACTATGGGGGTTCATCTGCCTGATGAGCAAGGAAACGCTGAGGACTGGGGTCCCCCTGCTGGCAGAACGCGAAGCTGCCTCAGATGCTGCACCTGGGGGACTTCTCCCCTGTGCCCAAAGTTCAAGTTCACCGTCCATCCTGGCTCTTACGCCTTCCTTCCCCGACCCGAGTGAGTCGAGGCTGGGCGAAGGGATGCAGGTGCGGGGTAACAAAGTCCCTCCTCCCAACATTTTCAGGGGCTTCACTGCTTAGACAGCGAGGTGGGCAAAAATGCCCTGGAGGAATGGAAGATGTCTGTAACGCCCAGTGTCCCCTTAAAAAGGAGCCGATACAGCACACCGGTTAACCGGGAACAGGGTTCCTCAGTCTTCGGCAGTCCATGAAGGCTGGACAGCAAAATGCCCAATTTGTTACATGGCGGCTGCAGGGGGAGGAGGTAGCAGTTAATAGGAACAGAGAAGCGTGGGCAGTGGGAGCTATCCAACAGGACAAGGATGGCTCTATAATGCTGGCTCCACCCTCGCCCCCCAGCAAGGCACACAGCGGGTGTTCAGCCAACACTGCTTCCCTTTGCCTGGTCCCCATGCCCACCAGAGAGGGACAATGGGCAGAATGTAATCTGAAAGAGCTTAACTCTGACAAAACAGAACACTCTCTTCTCAACGGCTGGTTTTTAAAGAGAAAACTGTAAGGTTTCCATTTTTAATTTGGGGTAAATTATGCATAAGAATTTAACCAATGGTCCATTAAAATCTTAAGAGGCCAAAGAATTTGGGAAGCAAAAGTCATTTGGGAAGTGAAAGTCAAGATTTCTTATCTCGCACCTGACTCATCCATCCAATTCCACGATCCACATCTCCAGCCTGACTGGTTCCTCATTGCAATATTCTCCAAAACAGCACCCTTGAGTTTTTTGAGAGACACTGGCCATGTCTACACCTGGAACTCCATTCCTGTTTCTCACTGAACCACCCGGTTACAGACCAGTCGCACGGATAGACAAAGCCCAACATCCGGTCACAGTATAAATCTTAGCAGTTTTAACTGAGAAATTTCTTACTTGACTGAGGTGTTCTGTGGCACCTCAAAGGATGCCAGGCGGCCACCCGCTGAGCTATTAGAACTAGCGTTCCCACAGGCAATATCTGGAATCACCTGAACAAAAAGAAAAAGAAAAAAAAAGACGAGTTATAGGGACGGACCACAGTATGAGATAATATTATAAAACAAAATTCCCTGAGCTGCATCCCCACCATTCCTTTTGATGATGCTGGGGCGGAGACAGAGACAGGATAAAGTGAACCCTTTCAAACGCAGAAGAAACGGAAAGTTCTGCCATTCGAGTTTCAGAAATGTCAACGTGTTCCTGGGAGCAGCCCACCCATTCCCAGCGCTGCCAAAGCTGATACAGGATATTGCAGAAAAAGGAGCAGGGTTCATGCCTCGTTCTCTCATTCCACAAACAGTCGCTGGCCTCTGGGCGTAACAAGGGACTAAATGCTTAGAGCACAAGGAGGTGGCCTTTCAGGAGTAGCGTACACATGGGGGTGTAAACCTTAATGGCAAGGACAACGAGCCCTTGCACAAGCAATAGGCAAGAAGTGTCCGGTCTGGATGACCTTGCTCTGTGCAGAGTTGGGTCTCAAGAGCACACGTCAAGGCTAGGTAACTGGGAAGCTGTGGACTACACCTTCATTGTTTAAGTGACATGTTCCCCAAAATATTATACTGATGTGTACCCCCAAAAAAGCTCAAGGGTGGAAAAATGTGCTCATCAGAAAGCATATTGCAGATACTTGAGCTGTGTCCGGGGCCCCTGACCAAGTGATTCATTTATTCCTCATGTTGTGATCACTCCTCACCCATGAGAGTCCAAATAAAAGGGTCTGAAAAGCATCCCTCATCGTTAAATTGACTGGAAAAAAACAGATTCTCAGCACTTTCACCCCACACCTGACATCTGATAGTCAAATGCAACAGATAAAACCCATCGTGGATATTCAAAGATGTGAGTTCGACTTGCTAACTTTGTGTAGCAAACAACTGCTCCGTAAATGTTAGTCCTCCCAGACTCCAAAGGCTTCCTGTTTCTGAAGCATCCTTGCTCCATGAAAGGCGCAAGCCCAAACACACTCACACGTCTTCCTTCGGTTCCTCTAACCTGCTTCTTGAACAGCCTAACAAATAACAGCAGGACGAGAAGATGAGGCGTTTCTTTTTCATACTTACCAGCTGTGGGACGACACGTCTTTAAATAAATAGATTGAAATGGTTTGTTGGGGAGAAATTTTCTGTAAAGGACACTTTCTTGATACACGTGGAACCGAATCTAGTTCGCATTCAGGAAGTGAGTCATTCAGCGAAGAGGTATTAAAACCGGACCTTCAAAGCGTTTATTAAATGTCTGGGATCAGAACGCGTTCGGTGTTTTAGGCAAACTAAGAACAGCGCCCTGCAGACTGAACGTGGCCTTCGTAAATTGTGTAGCGATGAAACGAAATGAGTCGACTGGTAAGAATTACCCAAGAAAATGAGAGGAGCAAAGCTCCCTTACCTCCTTTTCCAACAAGGGAAACTTCTAGATAGACGCCTTCACTCTAAAAGTGCTACCCAAAGACCTGTCTGTTGTATTTGTTTAAGCTACAAAACCTGTAATGATATACAACCCCAGGTCTATACGGATGTTGCATAAATTATAAAATAGGGAATGGAATTACACTCTATCGATGTCACCTCACATTCATGATGTGGATTTGTTCCCAAAGGCTTCCAGCTAGCAAATTCACAGTTTACGTCAACTTTCAGGGGTGTGCTGAAAATCTTCTATTTTATATAATGAGACTTTTGATGAGCTTGAAAATACAATGAGCCGAACCCAGACTGGACGAGAGTCGATAAATAGAATTTGTTATTGCCAAAATGATAATATTTGCAAATTTCATTCTTAAATGTACTCTCAAAAGAGTTTAAAAATCAAGATAGCTTTTCTTTCTTCTAAATCCCAGTAAAGTGCTGCAAGCTGCCAAAAATAGAACCTAAACAATAACAAACAAAAAGTTGACCATAATATTCCATGAAGGACAAGTAGGTCAACAACGAAGGGTCTGTTATATGTTCATTTATATAACTCTTCATTGAGTTGTCTGCCCTCCAAATCTAAGATTATCTCACAGAAATGTATGTGGATATCGTTTCAGAAAATAATTCCATTCTTTTTCTTTTCTTGATTACTCTTTCTGTGCTCACGAAACAATCATAATCTAAATGTCTCATGTGTGTGACCAAGAGAGATTTCTCAATCTACTGCAGATGGGAATAAGGTAAGGCACATTGTTTTGTTCGGTGGGTAACTTAAAAGGTTTCCATCTTTATTGCTGATATTGGAACCACTGGAATTATTTTAACCTTGCCAGTTTCTTCCATAAAATTATATGTAACGAAACATTCTCACCTCCACTTGATCCCATTTCATTTCTACCACTTTCTGCCCCGTTTTTGGCTGCCATGTCGGCAGGGTCACGGTCGCCTGAGAGAGGGGCAGGATGACGTCAGGCTCTTGGGTAGCTGGGACAGGCTGAAGCTGTCTGGGCGCCACGGACTCGGTCCAGCCAGAGGCTGGTACACTGGGAAGTGCCTGCTCACAGTTTGGACCTTCAAAGCCATCATTGCAAAGGCAGAGGTAGCCATTGCTGCTGCTGCTGCTGCTGCTGCTGCAGTTGCCATGGTGACAAGGGTTGCTGGCGCAAGGATCCGCAACAAGCTGAAACGAGACCACAAACCGGTCAATGATTCCCTCAAAAGAAAAGCGATGGCATCGCTGGGAAGTTAGCTCCGTGTCTCAGGGCTGCTGCCCTAGAGGAAATGCTGTTCGGGTGGCAGACACCGTCTTCACTCCTGGCGCTGTTGGGGGCACCATCCCAAGCTCATCCCAACTTTAACCTCTCCACGCGGAACAGGTGTCCTGCCAGGATAGACACAGCAAAGGAGAGCCTCCCTGAACCCGAAGCGCTAAACAATGTTGATCCAGGAATACGTTATCTAGAAGAATTTTCTAAGGCTCACCCCTCTAAAAATTAAATGGATGCCCATTATGAAACTACCAACTTTGTATTTCTAGCTGTGCATCCTGACAGATGATACTAGGGATCTAAATTGAAATCTCCTTTTACTCCTCCTGGACCGCCCAAGGCTTCCTCATAAGAAATGACTGCCCGGTTTATCTCTCCTGCAGATGCTCTCCCAATTTCCCACCTGATGAATGAAGCTTGTACAGGTGATATTATTTAATTGCAGGCTTCCGAAATAATGAGCGTGCATGACAATTGCAAGCTCGTAGAGAGCATAGTGGCAACTTGTATCAAGCAGAATTTTCTGAGAGTTTCCACCTCGTTATTTTGGAAGGTGATTACAGAGAGATGCGACCCAGCGAGATATGAAAGATAAAAATCCACTCGCGTGTCTTTAAACTGTATTCCTGCTCTGAGAGTTTAGCACTGAGTCCCTTGCTGACCTCTGAATTGCCACTTGTTGTTACTTGGAGACGCTACGAAACAATGTGACATGAAACAATGCTTTTCTGGAGACAGATCAAGGGTTCAGGCATGTTCTCAACGCTTATTCAATTATTGTTTGCTTCCGTGATAAGAGAAAATGAGACCTCTTTCTGAGATACCCTGGCTTCTCCGGCTGATCGTAAAACAGATTTTAGGAAAGAAGAGACTACAGATAAATAGGATCCCAATTTCTCCTAGTGAAATGGTTCGCACATAAACACACATAATTCTGCATGGAAAATGCCTACTCGTTCCGCAAATATCCTTGTCAAACAATTTCCAACAAACTCCTTAAGGAATGTTCAGGGGTTTTGAATTGAATAAAATGAAGCTCCAAAAAGACCACATTGTTAATTCTCTGCCATCACTGGCAGTCCCTTCACAGAATCTCAGTTAAGAGTAGATGGGTTGGTATCTGCAGAGAATATTTAAACTGTAAATGATTTTAAATACTTACAATCTTTATCAACTCAAAGTAAAACCCAAACTCCTTCCGTGACAGACGAAGCTTTCCAGGACCGGACCCTCCCAGCCCTGGTGCCCTCTCTTCCCACACTCGTTCCTCCTCCCTTGCTCTCGCCCCTCCCGCTTCCTTTCCGTTCCTGGACTATGCCAAGGTCACTCCCACTTCAGGGCTTTTGCACCTGCTGGGCTCTCTGCCTGGAACGCGTCCCTCCCAGACTCTGCGTGGTTCTCTATCTCGTTCCACAGAGTTCTCTACTCAAATGTCGCCTCCTCAGAGAAGCCTTCCTTCTCTACAAAATCTAAAATAATCCCCTTTTTCTTCTCCCACGAACACGTAAGCTCCATGAGCGCAGGGACTTTATCTGCTGTGTTCCCAGCTCTGTTCCCGGCACATCAAGGAACACAGAAAACGTGGCGAGGCTTCTTTTAAAAAGTATTGAAAACATAATGACTGAGAGCTTGATTGCTATTTGGAAAGCAATGCATAATGAGGGAGAGGTGTGAATGGCTCCTTTAGTCACGATATTATGACCTTGTTTCTAATTTATTTTTTTAGGAAAGCTTCATGGATGGGCATTACCTCAAAAATTATCTGACAGGAAGGAGAAAGAATTCAGTTAGCTAGGATAAAGGGGACACGTAAGCCATGTTTCTGAAGTTAACTTTTAAAACAACGTCTGAGGTCGACCTAGTCACAAATGGAAACTTTTAACACGTGCTTAAAACACACCGAAATACATTTAAATCATTTAAATACACTGAAGAGACCAAAATTAATTCTGGAAGAAGACCACCTCGCTGAGGGCCAGGGAGGCCCCAGGGCTTCTGTCCCATCGCCACAGCCCACTGGTGGCAACAGCCCGGCCCCCGAGAGGCACCAAGAAGCAGCATAAGTCAACAGGCCCTCTAGAGAAAGAATCCCAAGAACCAGTCCCCTCTGTCACACAGGAAAGGCTACCAGGCGTGGTACCTCCTGCGCCCCGAGGTGGTCATTTAGGGTTTTCAGAGATCATCGCCATTTAGTATCTCACTGTGCTCATGACAACCCTGCAACAGAAAAGGATTTTTCTGGATCCACATCACTGTCAGGAAATAGAAGGGCGGAGGAGTCGAGCGACAGGCATCACCGCCACTACGGGAGGAAGCCGAGGCCCGCCGCGTCTTCTGGCTTTCAGCCAAGAGTTCTTGCCCCACGCAGCACCGTGACTTTGACATGGAGTTGTTACCACGCCCAAAAAAATCCCCACGGAGAAGGCAAAAGGTAAGGGTTATACTTCCATGAGCAACTGAAAATAAGGACTCAACGTAGGCCACGGAAGGCCGTCGAAAACGCTTCGTTAGCATGAAGATAAAATAATGCTCGGTGAATGTCGACTGAGGCCTCACTATGTGACATGAACTGTACCACGCCTGGGAATAAAACGCTGAAAGAAACAAGGAACCAGATGCCACGTCCGTCCCTGGACGCTGTACATCTCGTAACCTGGTACCGGCACTAAAAACACCTCTGGTGGCACCTGCCTCTAACCGAGTCCTCTCCGCGGGCCTTCCACGACAGGTAGCGTTTGACGTCTAGCGTTTCACCTGTCTTCCTTTACTTCCTCCTGACGACGACCCTCTGAGGTAAGTGTGTTTCTTATTCTCTTTTATAGTTGAGGCTTAGCCTCGTGAAGCAGATGGTGACCTAAACTCAGAATCGAAGCCGAAGTCTTCGCAGAGTCTTTCTAGAACCTACGTGATCTCTCCCCGAGTCGCTTCGGCGTCACCTCCCACACTCCTGCTCGCTCGCGTGGCTCCACACACACCGGCCTCACTGTTCCGCCGCCTCGTCCGGCATCACCTGCCTCAGGGCCTCTGCACTGGCCATTCTCTCTATCTGGAACACGGCCACATCTTCCTCCCAATCTGCTCAGGTGTCATCTGCTCAGGAGGACTTCTCTGAGCACACGACCGAACCCCGCGAAGTCTCCATCCCTCGGCACCGTCGATTCCTCTGTCTCTGTCTTGCCTCTCCCCAAAACGTCTATCACCTTCTAATATATTGGGCGGGGGGGAGTTATTTATCTATTATATTTATTTTCTCTCTTCCTCCACTATCATATAAACCCTGTGAGGTCACATTTCTCTTTTCTGTTTTCTATTTGGGAACTTGAGTGTTAGCACATGGGGGCTGGTGAATGAACAGTGAATGAATGACTGGGTGAATGAATGATGTTACATACAAAGCAGGTGCTGGAGCCTGTGATGTGCACTGCTATGCAGCATGGAGTTAGGACTCCCCAAAGCCCAGGCCCAGGCCTTGAGAACACAAGTCAGGGGGGAACGTATGTGTCCTCGCCACGGCATTTTTAGAGCACTTCAATTACTTTAAATCAGCTTGAGAAGGAGACGAAGACCCCATTGATGGAGGAGGCAAGGCCCAACCAGCACACTCCGCCGCTGTGGCCTTGGTGAGGGCAGAAAGAGGGCTGACTGGGGGCGTGGATGGCTCTCACGCCCGCCTCCGAGGCATCCGGCTCCGGTCCTCGGGGGCCATCAGTTGGGACATCGCGTAAAGCCCGCCCCTCAGGGGGCAGAGTCGGGGGCTGGTGGAAAGAGCTGGGTGGTCAGGGCAGGTGTCCATGGCCGTGCCCAATGCGCCATGCCCCGATGACAGTCCCACCAGGAGAGGAAATAAAGAGCTGAAAGAAAACAGCATGGGGATAAACGGCATCGTTTAAGGGCGGCGGTCTGGGTCTCACAGACGAGAGGGGTGAGAGCAGCAATGGGATTAGAGGGAGAATGGGTAGCGGGGAGGGCCAGGAGATCTGCTCCTAGCGAAGAAAACGAAAGCTAAAAATTAAACTGCCAACCGTAGAGATTCCTAAAGGAATTCAACACAGCAAGTGATGCCGTGGAGCACGCATGCGCATGCGCGCACACGCACAGGGATACAACGGAGAGAAGTTAAACGCACTACAGGCCCCTGAGCTCTTCTTTAAAACGATCATTTCAGATTAACGCTGCTTCCTTGATTTTCTGTTAGTTGCTTCCCTAACAATGCCAACTACCTGCCATTATATTCTCTAACACTAGACTAGTTTCATTTTTTTTTAAAAATCCGTTTCGATTACATAACAGCAAATATAAGATAAAATGCAATCATTAATCTTTAAGCAGCATCCTGGAGTCATAAATATTTATTATAAGTCCTGTTCGACTGTACACAACTTATTGAGATGGATTTTAAGTTTGCATGTGTATTTTATCTCATAGGAAAAATCCTGTTGCAGGGGTCACTCCCGCCCTTGAATCCCATCAAGTCTGCACTATAAGCAGGAAATAACCAAACCGTCAAAATGCATAATGAGGCAAAATATCATAATTAATAGACCTGACTTTGGGGAGACCCAAAATTTGACAGATGATATTTTCTTGGCTATAATTTCTTGCTTCTCGTGATAAGGGAAAAAATGAGTAAGACTTTGTAATATCGCCTTTAAAGAAGAAAAGAGAAAGCCCATAGGTTTAATGATTTTCTGCTTACAGTGAACCGGCGAGCTCGCTTATTAAATGCTGTGTGTTACATCAGATTAATTCACCTTTCTAAGCCAAATTTTTTCAAATCACGGTTCTTTTCACATTTTATTTTAGACTTTTCACCCGTGTCAAATAATTTATACTACGATCAAGAGCACTTGTGGGGGGGGGGTGCACAGGGCGAGATGAGAGGCCAGACCGTAGCAAAGGTGCCTGACAATCC